TGCTAGATGACAAGATGATGATCAGATGATGAGAAAGATGATGACAAGGATGACAACTATCATCGTAGCATCCTTGGCATCACTGACGGCTGTGATGATAACTAGCGTCGTAACTTCTGCATCAGCAACGCTGCCGAATAAGAGATGATGATGACCATGATGATAGTGATGATAAGGATAAGAGAATAAGAAAGAGATGATGATGACCATCATGAGGATGATGATGATGAGAAGGATGATGATGCTGATGACCATCATCATGATGATGAGAAGGATGCTGGTGCTGATGATGACTGTGATGATAAGAATCATCGTAGCAGCCTCTGCATCACCAATGCTGCCTAATAAGAGATGACGACGACCATGATGGTAGTGGCACATGCAGGCGTGAGTCATGACAACTATCATCACAACATCCTCTGCATCTCTACTTGTTCCTTGATAGCTATCATCATCGCATCCTTTGCATTGCCAAGGATGTCTAATGTCCCTTTTGATTTCTATATATAGTAAGATGTATAAAAGATATTAGATGATGTTAGATGACGATCACATGATGATAAAGATGATGACAAGGATGACAACTATCATCGTAGCATCCTTGCCATCACTGACGGCTGTGATGATGACTTTCAACGTGACATCTTCTGCGTCAGCAACGCCGCCAAACAAGAGATGATGATGACCATGATGATAATGATGGTAGGGAAAAGAGAATAAGAAAGAGATGATGATGACCATCACGATGATGATGAGAAGGATGATGATGATGACGATGATGCAGCCCAACACAAAGTCTACCACACCTCAAATAATAAGAACAAACATTATTTGAGGTGCTCTCCCTGACAAAAAGCCCGCCAGAAGAAAGACACAAGGATGCCACTGAACAATTGGGCAATGGATGACTGTCATGACAACTATCATCGTAGCACCCTCTACATCACCAATGCTGCCTAATAAGAGATGACGACCATGACGATAATGGCACGCGCGGGCGTGATGATCGTTATCATCCGCGTCATGACAACTATCATCACAACATCCTCTGCATCTCTACTTGTTCCTTGATAACTATCATCGTCGCATCCTTTGCATTGCCAAGGATGTCTAACGTCCCTTTTGATTTCTATATATAGTAAGATGTATAACAAGATATTAGATGATGCTAGATGATGATCAGGTGATGACAAAGATGATGACAAGGATGACAACTATCATCGTAGCATCCTTGGCATCACTAGCGGCTGTGATGATAACTATCATCGTGACATCTTCTGCAGCAACGCTGCCGAATAAGAGATGATGATGACCATGATGACCATGATGAAAATGATGATAAGGATAAGAGAACAAGAAAGAGATGATGATGACCATCATGATGATGATGAGAAGGATGATGAGGATGATAACCATCATCATGATGATGATAAGGATGATGCTGATGATGATGATGACGACTGTCATGATAACTATCATCGTAGCAGCCTCTGCATCACCAATGCTGCCTAATCAGAGAAGACGACGACCAGGATGATAATGGCACGCGCGGGCGTCATGATCGTTATCATCCGCGTCATGACAACTAGCATCACAACATCCTCTGCATCTCTACTTGTTCCTTGACACCTATCATCATCGCATCCTTTGCATGGCCAAGGATGTCTAACGTTAGACGATCAGATGATGATAAAGATTATGATAAGGAGATTATCTATTATCATAGCATCCTTGGCATCACTAACAGCTGTGATGGTGATAAGGATCATGATGATGGTGATGATAACAATCATCGTAGCATCCTCTGCATGCCTTTTCAGAGATGACGACGACCATGATGATAATGGCACGCGCGGGCGTGATGATCGTTATCATCCGCGTCATGACAACTATCATCACACCATCCTCTGCATCTCCACTTGTTCCTTAATAACAATCATCAGCGCATCCCGTGCACGGTCAAGGATGTCTAACGTCCCTTTTGCTTTCAATATATAATAAGATTCTAGATGATGCTAGATGATGATCAGATGATGATCAACATGATGACAAGGATGACAACTATCATCGTAGCATCCTTGGCATCACTAACGGCTGTGATGATAACTATCATCGTGACATCTTCTGCATCAGCAACGCTGCCGAATAAGAGATGATGATGATAAATGATGACAAGGATAAGAGATTAAGAAAGAGATGATGATGACCATCATGATGATGATGAGAAGGATGATGATGATGATGACCATCATCATGATGATGAGAAGGATGATGATGCTCATGATGACTGTGATGATAAGTATCACGTCATGACAACTATCATCGCAGCATCCTCTGCATCTCTACTTGTTCCTTGATAACAATCATCACCGCAACCTTTGCATTGCCAAAGATGTCTAGCGTCCATAATAAGATATTAGCTGATGATAGCTGATGATCAGATGATGACAAACATGATGACAAGGATGATAGCTATCATCGTAGCATCCTTGGCATCACTAACGGCTGTGATGATAACTATCATCGTGGCATCCCATGGTGACAATGATGATAAGGATAAGAGAACATCAAAGAGATGATGATGACCATCATGTCGATGAGGATGAGAAGGATGATGAGGATGATGACCATCATCATGATGATGATAAGGATGATGATGCCGATGGCGACTGTCATGATAATTATCATCGCAGCATCCTCTGCATCACCAATGCTGCCTAATAAGAGATGACGACAATCATGATGATAATAGCACGCGCGTGATGATCGTTATCATCCGCGTCATGACAACTGTCATCACAGCATCCTCTGCAGGTCGACTTGCTCCTTGATAACTATCATCATCGCATTCTTTGAATTGCAAAGCATGTCTAACGACCCTTGTGATTTCTATATATAATAAGGTGTCCAATAAGATATTAGATGATGCTAGATGATGATCAGATGATGATAAAGATGATGACAAGGATGATAATTATCATCGTAGCATCCTTGGCATCGCTAAAGGCTGTGATGACAACTACAGTATCATCGTGACATCTTCTGCATCAGCAACGCTGCCGAATAAGAGATGATGATGACCATGATGATAATGATGATAAGGATAAGAGAATAAGAAAGAGATGATGATGATCATCATGATGATGATGATGACGAGCAGGATGATGATGATGATGACCATCATCAAGATGATGATAAGGATGATGATGACGATGATGACTTTGATGATAAGAATCATCGTAGCATCCTCTGCATCACCAATGCTGCCCAATAAGAGATGACGACAACCATGATGACAATACCACGCGCGGGCGTGATGATCGCTATCATCCGCCTCATGACAACTATCATCACAACATCCTCTGCATCTCTACTTGTTCCTTGATAACTATCATCATCGCATCCTTTGCATTGCCAAGGATGTCTAACGTCCCTTTGGATTTCTATATATATTAAGGTGTCCAATAAGATATTAGATGATGCTAGATGATGATCAGATGATGCTAAAGATGATGACAAGGATGATAACTATCATCGTAGCATCCTTGGCATCACTAACGGCTGAGATGATAATTATCATCGTGACATCTTCTGCATCCGCAACGCTGCCGAATAAGAGATGATGACCATGATGATAATGATGATAAGGGAAAGAGAATAAGAAAGAGATGATGATGACCATCATCATGATGATGAGAAGCATGATGATGATGACGACGATGATGCAGCCCAACACAAAGTCTACCACACCTTAAATGATAATAAAAAAACACATTATTTGAGGTGCTCTCCCTGACAAAAAGCCCGCCAGAAAAAGACAAGGATGCCACTGAACAATTGGGCAATGGATGACTGTCATGACAACTATCATCGTAGCACCCTCTACATCACCAATGCTGCCTAATAAGAGATGACGACCATGACGATAATGGCACGCGCGGGCGTGATGATCGTTATCATCCGCGTCATGACAACTATCATCACAACATCCTTTGCATTGCCAAGGATGTCTAACGTCCCTTGTGATTTCTATATATATAAAGATGTATAACAAGATGTTAGATGATGAACAGGTGATGATCAAAATAATGACAGGGATGATAACTATCATCGTAGCATCCTTGGCATCACTAACGGCTGTGATGAAAACTATCATCGTGACATCTTCTGCATCAGCAACGCTGCCGAATAAGAGATGATGATGACCATGATGATAATGATGATAAGGATAAGAGAATAAGAAAGAGATGATGATGATCATCATGATGATGATGATGACGAGCAGGATGATGATGATGATGACCATCATCATGATGATGATAAGGATGATGATGACGATGATGACTGTGATGATAAGAATCATCGTAGCATCCTCTGCATCACCAATGCTGCCCAATAAGAGATGACGACAACCATGATGATGATCGCTATCATCCGCCTCATGACAACTATCATCGCAACATCCTCTGAAATTTCTACTTGTTCCTTGATAACTATCATCATCGCATCCTTTGCATTGCCAAGGATGTCTAACGTCCCTTTTGATTTCTATTTATAAGATGATATATAATCAGATATTAGCTGATGTTAGATGATCAGATGATGATAAAGATGATGACAAGGATGATAACTATCATCGTAGCATCCTTGGCATCACTAACGGCTGTGATGATAACTATCATCGTGACATCTTCTGCATCAGCAACGCTGCCGAATAAGAGATGATGATGACCATGATGATAATGATGATAAGGATAAGAGAATAAGAAAGAGATGATGATGACCATCGTGATGATGATGATGATGATGATGACGATGACTGTGATGCTAACAATCATCGTAGCTGATGATGCTGATAAGGATGAATCTTTGGTTATACTTTTGTGCCAACCACCCTTCCCGTGCACCTCCCCGTTTTAGAGAAAGGGTCGGCGGAAATTTAGAGGGAAAGCGAGAGGACGCCGACCGATTTCGGGTTGGATTTCTCAGCGAAACTGCAGGCTTCTCTCCTTCTCGCTTCGGGATCTACTTCAACTACTCGGTGGCCAGCATTTGCGGGCACCCCCAGGCATGGCAACGCCGCACTTGTTCGGGGGTGCCTTTTGGGCGGGGAATCCTTCTTGCAGCAGGACCCCTGATGAACAACTGGCGGAGAGTTGGTACTCAGTAGTCAACACTCGCTGTTTCGATGGGCAGGGACTGAGGGAAGGAACCCGAACTAAACCTCGCTTCCGAGGGAGCAACATTTCATTCCCGATCCTGATTAATTCAGAACAAGAACAGTGCATCTACCAATCCCCAGAAGGCTGCACGCATTTTCTGAATCAAATGCCATCTGTTTTCCAGGAACTTTCGGTTAGGGTCGTTCGGTTTTTGAAGTTCTCGTTATCCTTTCCCTTTTATCAGTGTTCTTTCTATTTGTCTTCTATACATGTTGGCCTTTCTATAGTGTATATCATCATTATTATTACTATTGATATTATCATCAAAGGAAGTTTAGCAGGAAAACTTCCGTACTACGAAAAGTTGAATCACAAGATCCGGACGCACTCAGAAGTGAAGTCAGTCAGCACGGAGAATCGCGAAGGGTACGTCTGTTCTGCGTGCGGGTTCGCCACGGTCTCGCCACGGTTTCGGAATGTTGCCCACTGTAATGCTCGCGCAGACGTGTTCGGAGGTCTATTTTGCGTGGCAGGCGCAGCACTTTGGCAACCTGAGCTGCCCCGTGCAAGGTCAGGTACAGATTGTGTGGCAGGCGCAAACATTTCGCAAGGTTGAGTACAGATTTCGTGGCAGGCGCAGCACTTTCGCAAGGTCAGGTGATAGATAGATAGATAGATACATAGATCAGCAAGGTCGAGTACAGATTTCGTGGCAGGCGCACTTTCGTGGCAGGCGCAGAACTTTCGCAAGGTCAAGTACAGATTTCGTGGCAGGCGCATCACTTTCGCAAGGTCAAGTGCAGATTTCATGGCAGGCGCAACACTTTCGCAAGGTCAAGTATAGATTTCGTGGCAGGCGCAGCACTTGCGCAAGGTCAAGTACAGATGTCGTGGCAGGCGCAACACTTTCGCAAGGTCAGGTGCAGATAGATAGACTTTAGAGCCTCCGGCTCAGTCCGCCGACATTGTCCACTCCCTTTTCTCCTTCTTCCTCTCTCCCTTGTCTCCCTTGTCTAATCTGTCGTCCTCTCTCCCTCCTTGCGCCCCCCCCAAGCCTCTCTCTCCCCAATCTCCCTCTCTCGTATGTATGTATGCATGTATATATGTATGTAATGTATGTATGTATGTATGTATGTATGTTATGTTATGTTATGTTATGTTATGTTATGGTATGGTATGTTATGTATGTCTGTATGCATGTATGTATGTATGTATGTATGTAGGTTATGTTATGTTATGTTATGTTATGGTATGTTATGTATGTCTGTATGCATGTATGTATGTATGTATGCATGTATGTATGTATGTATGTATGTTATGTATGTATGTATATATGTATGTATGTTATGTATGTTATGGTATGTATGTATGTATGTATGTATGTATGTATGTATGTAATGTATATAATGTATGTAATGTATGTGATGTATGTATGTATGTATGTATGTATGTATGTATGTATGTATGTAATGTACTGTAATGCAATGTAATGTAATGTAACGTAACGTAATGTAATGTAATGTAATGTAATGTACGTATGTAATGTAGTGTAGTGTATGTATGTAATGTATGTATGTATGTATGTAATGTACTGTAATGTAATGTAATGTAAGGTAACATAACGTAATGTAATGTAATGTAATGTAATGTAATGTAATGTACGTATGTAATGTAATGTAATGTACGTATGTAATGTATGTATGTATGTAATGTATGTATGTATGTAATGTAATGTAATGTAATGTAATGTAATGTAATGTAATGTAATGTAATGTAATGTAATGTAATGTAATGTAATGTAATGTATGTATGTTATGCTATGTTATGTTATGTTAAGTCATGTCATGTCATGTCATGTTATGTTATGTTATGTATGTATGTATGTATGTATCCTTGATGCTCCCCAGGATTTCCTGCACAAAAGACGGTTTTCCAGCGTTTTCGCAAAGAGGACGTCTCCAGATTTTCGGCAAAAGGATGCAGGAAGTCCAAGCCAGCAAAAAAGCCGGCAGGGGGAATCGAGCCTGGGACCCCTGTTTTGCGACACCGGCTCCCCGAAAACTATTTGACGTTGGGCGGGGGGGGGGGGGGGGTTATCCTCTATCCTTTCTAGTAAGTATCCGACACACCGAACAATGTCGGCGGATAGATAGATAGATCAAATGCAAAGAGAATGAGAAAGACAGATAAATATAGAAAGAAACCAAGAAAGAAATAAAGAAAAAACGAAATAAAGAATGAAAGAAATAGAAAAATAAAGAAATAAAGAATGAAAGCAAGAAAGAACGAGAGAGAGAGAGAAAGAAAGAAAGAGAACGATAAAGATAAAGATAAATAAAAAGAAAGAAAGACAGAAAGAGAAAAAAAGAGAAAGAAGACATATCGACAACGAGAAATAAAACAAAATACAGAGGGAGAAAGAAAGAAAATATCAAGAAAGAAAGCAAGAAAGAAAGAACATAAAGAAATAAACAATAAATGAAGAGAAAGAGAAATACAAAGAAATAAAGACATAGAGAAAGAAAGGAAAGAAAAGAAATAAATAACAAGCCAAAACAGAACTAATGAAAGAAAGACAAAAAGAAAGACAGAAAGAAAGAAAGACAGAAAGAACAAGAAAGAGACAAAGAAAGAGGGCAACCAAAAAAACCAAGCCAAGCTCTTCCTATAGGCACTCTTCTCGCTTTAGAAGCTTCCGTCCACCGGCTTCGCCGGCTCTACTGGTATTGTTAGTGTCATTATGATTTTCATAATTTTTATGATTAGTGGTATTAATCATTGGTTATTATTAGTATTAGTGTTAGTAGTATTATGATTATTATTAGTTTATTATTGCCATTTTTTGTTTATCATTTTTATTATTTATTATGGTTGAAGAATCACGACCCCTGACCCCAAGCTACTCATGGCATGAGGCCTCGTGTATTTCATGTTTGAAGTTGTGAACATGCAATTGGCAATGTCCTTTGGCTCAAGGCCCGTATGGAGAAAAATCCAGGGTTAGCTTCGTGTGCTTTCTTGAGCCGGGCGAATAAAGGTCCCGTCTTCTGGTTCGCCGTGTTTCTTTCCCTGTTGAGCGATTATCAGCCGTAAGTGCTGTCTATAGCCACCCACACCTTCGGGACGCCTACCCGCAACTCTTCCAGGCTGCGATCGCCCGAGGCTTGCGCAAGCTTCTCTCCTGGGGCGCAGGCCGCAGCTCCAAGCGCGGTAGGACCGGCCAGTGATCCGGCTCTCAACCTCCTACACCAACAAGCCCGACATCGACGTCAACCTGAGCAGTGCAGAACTCCGAAGACAGTTGGAGACGGGGAGCGTTGGCATCGCGTCCTTGGCCTCGCTGTGCTTTTAGCTGCAGCCTGGGCGGTGCCCTGGATCTGTAGCGCTTGGGCTTCAGGAGCTGGCTGCTCCTCTGGCCTTGACCTTCGCCTTGATGCGGACCTCTCCCAAGTGCCACTTCCCCTACCAGCTTTTGCCGCCGGCTGGGAGGAAGGCCGACGGGGCGGACACCTGCGCAACTGCGCAGTCGGCCGCCGATTCTTGCACCGACCAACTTCGCATATCCTATGACAAGGGTGGACAGTACAGGGTCCTTCAGCATTGCCACGATGTTTCCCAGGCCAGTGTAGCGGACCCACACAGTCGGATTCGTATTGGCACAGGCCTCCATCGCCTACGATGCTGTTGTGTTTTTAGACACGAGATCTCCGGTCGTGCTGCATTCAATCCCAACAGCGTGTACAAGGCCGAGCAGGCATTGAAAAGGCCAGCTCGCCGACCGCGAGCCAGCAGTGCCTCCCGCAAAGGCTCGAAGGGGAGTGCCTCGGCATGTCCGCTGGGCTGAGAAGACGCCGCGGACACTCCTCATCTTCCTCCTCAGCCACCTTTGTGGGCTCATGTTCAGGTGGATCGATTGAGTGCCTTCGCAGCGCGTGTCGCTGCTGCCTCCGGCGTTTTGCGTGATTTCTTCACCTCTTCTTCGGCCGCCTTCTTGGCCTTCTCTTCCTCCTTGTCACTTTCAACCAATGCGGCGAAGCGTTTTTCAACACTCGGCGGCGTGCGTGCAAGTATCAGCGGCACAGGCCTTACAGCCGGGCGTGACTTTGAACTTGATAATCCGTTCGCGGTGATGCACACGCTACGGGCTTTAATGCTGGATGGAGTCATTGGGGCAGGCGTGCCCTCCGGAATGAAAGGAACATCTCGGATCGAGTACTCCGGCACTTCGCCCTCGCCGGTTCGAATGGCTCGCTTGGCGACCGCTGCTATTGGGAAGATTGGGTCTCCTTGTGCCGTTACGGCTCCATTGGTGCGGTGCGGAAACTTTGGCAATCCGATACGCCGCCAAAATCTGTAGGATTTTGACTTGCTCCCTCATCCGGAGGACTGGGCCTTGTCTAGGATAGTCTCACTAACAGCCTCACGCTCCAACCTCAGCACTTCGGCTTGAGCTTGTGCTCTTGGCAATTCGGCTTCTCGCTCAACATGGCCAATGGCTTCCTGTCTCACCTCATTGACATGGCCGGTGGCTTCCTGTCTCACAAGATTAACATGGCCTATACAGCTTCCTGTTGAGTGTGTTGGGCAGCTTGTTCGGCCAGTGTCTGTTGCGTTCGGGCACGTTCGACTGGGTATGCCAACTGAGTAGCCTGTTGCGTAGAGGGCCGGCCACACCTCCCCTAGCCTTTGCCGCTCGTTGCACTTGACCCCGACTTGGGCAGGAGCTGGTGGATAAGTTCCAGAAGAACTATGCATGGGGGGGCACGGACATTCGTTGGAATCATTTTCTGATGGTGGGGAAATCCTCGAAGCCATGATCTGCTTCCTTTTATCGGCAATCGGCCAGGCTCTCTGCTGGCGCACCGCGCTCTGCGGCCCAGGCCAGATGGACTCCACGACCGCTCCA